AGAAGAAACTGTAAGACATTATCTAGAATCTATATATAGAGGAAAATATATAGTCACAGCATCCAAGAGTAGCTTGAGTGAACTATCTTTCTTACTTCTCTTCCATCAAGTTCTGCCTGCAATCTTGTTTGCATAGAATATCTATCTTAAATCACTACAAAGTCTCTGGGCAAGAACATTAAATAGTCTCCTACTAGCAAAGCAGGTTTATTTCAGAACAGGTAGAGAAATTCTCTAGAATAATTTGTGAGGTGATTAAAGAGGCTTATGAATAAAAAAGTGCTAACAATGTATGGGAGCCTTTATAAGGCTGAAAGATTTATAGGACAGCCGAGACAAGCTTTATATCATATGATGAAAATAGTAAGATCACAGATCAAATCCAAGAATCAGGGTTCATACATCAGGTACTAATTTACAGTCACCAACTACAGAATAAGGTGCTTCCAACTCATTTCTCTTTATAAAGAGTTATGAGAAAAGACAACATATCTCAGACTTGTCCGTTTCAGATGCCTGATGGATGATACAAGCTAAAGCCTAAGCGGTTTTTTATAATTTTATTTTTAAACTTTGCAACATCCATTTCACAATCACATCTGTTTCCTTCATTTATTGGAAAAGGAAAAAAAATAAAAAATATACATATACTTTTTCAATTCATGTTCTGGCCATATCTTCCCATTACTTGGCGCTCTCACTGCATTGATCTCAACAGTAGGTCTAAAATAAAGGCATCTTAAACAGAAGACTCTGTGAATCCAGAAATGTCTGCAGTCAGAAAGCTCCATTAATCAGCTGAACAAAGGCAGTTAAAAGATCAGCGATGCAGATACGTACATCTACTGCAAATGCATCAAAATGAGGCAACAGGAGACTTTATGGAAATGAACTCAAAGTCAGTGACAGTGTTGAATATCTGTACTAGAATCTTAACAGCCACAAAAATTAATTTCATTATATCATGCAGGATGTAGATATTGTTACTTTTTTTCTGAATAAAGAACTAATGGCTGTCCAAAAGCTTAATTTTGTAATTTTACTCTCTTCTCCCTCCTTAAGAAGAATGGAAGCCCCACAACAGCAGATATATCTAAATAAATGGAAGTCATTTAGTAGCAATTTTATTCTGCACCAGAAAGAAACACACTGGAAAAAAGTTAGTTACTACCGAAATTTACACTAACAAACAGCCCCAGTTGTCTCTGGTGGCTGTGGACAGGATTGTGCTAGAGAAGAATTTTCCTGCCTTTCAAGCACATATGAATATGAACAATGAATTATTTGTTCGCATAAAAAACCCCTTAAATTTCTTATCACAAAAAGAAAACAGCCATTGCAGGTTCAAAGAGCATTTATATGGGTTCAAATACTTTTAATTTCCAGCCTCAGACATGCGTTCCTTTGAATCATTCCTACCTGCTTCCTTTAGTAAATCTAGTGAAGTGAGACACAGATGAAGGAATCAATAGTCATGTTGTTTATGCCGAAGCTCCTTTTAAGCTTCAGTATTCTCAGACATAAAATGAGTACTGCTGCACTGAAGAGATATCAAAAAAGCTTTGCTTGCTACCACAATTCTGCAACACAGCCAAATTTCATCTCAATGCCACATGACTTTTTTTCCAATATACAGTTGCAATGAGGGCACGTAGTTTTAATATTTATAGTTTATATTTATGGTTATATTATATACGACATATTTATAAATATATAATATTTATATATTATAGTATTTTAAAGTTTTAATATTTTCTGTTGTAGATTCAAATCCACATAAGGGGCTAGTTTTGCTGCATGTTTTCCCCAATGGCACTACTACACTGAGAACACAGCAAGACATTATATTCATTGTTAAAAGTGAATATCTGATTTAATCAATCCCCATGCAGTACAACTACGTAGCTCTGTATTACACATACATCACAGTCTATTCATATATACACCAAGCAGCACATTAAAAGACAATGATGCTTGGCAGCTAAATCATAATTTTGACACGCCCAGATCTGATTGCTTCTCTTTCATTTACGTATGTGCCTACTGGAAAGCCTTGAATTACAAGGATTTATATGGCTCTGTCCACGCTTTTTTGCTAGATTTTAAGCAATCTGAACAGCTACATCTCACATACTCCATTGTTTATAAGTAAACAGTTTAGTAACTCCACCTGCTTACTCTTCTACTCCCTTTCAACATGTCTGTTTTGGTAACTGTTTTGTTAGTACTGTGTCCATCACCTCGCAAGGATGGGATGAGAGGGATGCTGAACTGGCAGGGGAAGGTGTAATGAAGCTAAATCTAATCCTCATTGGCAACTATAATATAGAGAGAATTGTAACACTACATTTTTGTTTAGAAATAAGCTTTCATCTCCGCTCAGCTAGGTATCTCACATGCCTCTGACCTCCTTGGCAGAGGAGTACATGCCAACATAAGTTCACACAACATTCTGTAAAACAATGAAAATCAAGAAATCAGTTATGCAGCACATGCATGCAAAGGAGGAAGTAAGGTAGCATGAACAACCCTCTAAATTTTATCATAGCTTAGCATCATGTTTTGTTTGTTTTCAAATCAGAAAGTATGGTACTCCAGAAAGTTAGTTTTCAAGTCTCCTCTCAGCCTAGACAATATTTTTTATCCTAACAAAAGGACTTTATGTATTCAAAATAATGACAGTATGTCCTAAAATTCAATGCTTTTAAAATGTATTCAGTGAGCATGTTCAGACAAAAACTATGTCACTACGAAAGATATCACTAATACTGAAATGTAAACTGAATTCCTGTTAGCCAAGTTTCAAGATGGCCACGTTTCAAGTTGGTTTCCTATGATCAGCCTATTTGATTTAGTCATAAAGTTTGAGGGTTTTTTTATCTAGCCAAACCGAATCATTCATGACAAGTAACATATGAGACAGGGAGAGTATCTTCCCTCATCCCAAAAATTAAGAAATTCACTTCTATGAAGCAAATAAGACGCCTTTATTCAGCCCTAACTGAAAACTTCTGTCCTGTCCCTACCACGATAACCAAACCACACACCTTACATCTTACAAGACTTAAGTGGTGAGCAAGAGAGAGAAAGAGAGAGGGAGAAAAGTCAGCCAAACAAGTAATACCATTTGCTGAAGATAAGTACAGGAAAAGGCCGTTTAAAAACAATAATATTGATATTTGTAACTGCAATAGCAAAGTTCTATCCAAGTTTGGCAACTTTGCACAGAAGCAATTTCAATACAAACAAGCTTACTTGCATGTTTGTCTGCCAATACAATAAGTGTACTTGATATGTCTCTTCTTCTGTAGAAACATACCACTTTTGCTTCCACATTTCCATTGGCAGTCTGAAACAGGAAAAAAGAAAAAAGATTGATCACAAATCAAGAACTGAACTGTACACACCAAACTAGAAAACTTCAGAAATAATTTGGAATTTTGCACAAGAGCCACATAGCATCACCTTTCAGCACCCTCCAGCTGCACACACATGATCTAACACAAATGCCGGTGAGATCCATCCCAAGGTAGGAAAACAGAGTTTGGCCCTTCCCTCGTAATTGTTTCTGCGGGATCACCATTTTTAGCAGTTACAGGATGTTTCAAGGGGTAGGAAAAACACTTGCAGTTACAACATATTAACAAGCCACTTTGCTACTTTTCAGGTAATGTCTACATTTAGCAGAATTCAAAAGCATCTTTAAAGTCCTAATAAAAAGAACTATGAAATATAACAAGCGAATTCAGGTTTAGGCTGTTCTCCAAATTCTGTAGGACAGCAGGAAAGCAAGAAAGAACCCAGCCATTATTACTTTCACAAAAGAAATCAGGTTCTTTCTCTGACAGCACTGGTGAGCTAAACAATAGCTAACACACACGCAAAAAAAAAATCATTCCAAAAGGAGAACCAAGGAAGCTGCACCATGCAATGAACTCTACACCAGTGACAACATACAAAAAAGTCAGGATTTCTGAAAGGTTTGGGATTTTTTTTTCTTAAAACTCTAAGATGAGGCAGGTGATGAATCTCTTGTAAGATGGCACCTGCCAAATTGTGAAATTAGCTTTATACAAACTCTAGGGGAAATACACCTACTGGTTTGTAATAGTCCCAGCCAATCTACTGTCTCTAAAATAAATCAACTAATAATGAAAATGTAACCAAAAGAGTTGTATCCTACTACTGAAGAGTCCTTGAAAACCATAATGATGGCACACAGATTAAGAAACTAGAAGACTAAGATACAAATTCCCCTCCAGGAAGTCTGCAAAAAAAGGCAGTGGACCAGCAATCTCTCCACAAGGAATAAAAAAAAAAAAAACAAAACCAACAAAAAACAAAAGAAAAACCCAAACAAAAACCCACCAAACACAAACTGATATACATGCTTGTTGCTAAGATGTGAATGGAGGAAAAGTTTCATCTTTTATAATACCAGTTTTTCTAACACAAAGAAAAAAAAACAGTTGACAATATATACATGCACAAATATTTCCCCTTGCAGCCTCCCAGTTTTTGCTACAGGGCTTGCAGAATTTCTATCGCTTTCTGTTAAGTAATTCAGAAGTTTTAAATTTTGAGGAACTAAAGCACAAAAGCAGGAGCCATCTTGTTCAAACACAAAGGGCTACAATGTAGAATTATCTATTTCATTTGATCGCCCAGGTTTCATTTACACTCAGTGAAAAGAAAAAAAAAAAAAAAAAAGGGCAACATATGATTCATTTCAACCGAAAAGACTCATTTCAAAGAATGGGTAAGAGAAATGACGGCTGAGGCAAGATTTCCACTAAAATGAGAGATCCAGGCTGAAAGTTCTTTTTTCAAAGCAGGGGAAGAATGAAGAGGGAAAAGAACACTTCCCTAGAAAGTGTTAAACGCAACCGCACCCTGTAACTGATGGCATACAGCTATTGATACCTCATGGCTATGGACCCACTGGGAGCATTTTAGGAACTCGCTCTTGGTTTCTTAATGAAAGGGAGACAAAGTATTTCTGCACTAGACCACCACTAAAAAGGTGTTAAAAGGATGTCCTAGCCCTCAGATTCTTTATTTGTTGTTATATTGATACATTTTCTCTTCCATGTAACTGTTTTAGAAAGACATGTTTCACCATTGCTGAAGAAAAGAAACTAACTGTAGTCAGTTCATTTCAATTCAAATCCAAAACAGCGATGTTGCATTCCTTGTGTATGGGCTGCAATGGACACACTGGTATTAAACCTGAGAAAGTGGCATGTTTAGGACACAGCTAGCTGCTTCAGAACAGTCTTCCCTCCTTAACTAGGTAAAATTTCAGCATCGAGGACTTCAGCTGGCTTCCCACATACAAGCTATCACGCTTCCCTTTTAGTTCCAATGTAAGGGAAATTTAGCAGATGAAATAATACACTTTGCTGGTTGCCCAAAGGACAAAAACCAGCAAAGACAAAGTCCGAGGAAGCAGATAATGGTTCCAAACCTCCCTGTTGAGCAAGAGTCTCCTCCAAGAAAGATCAAATTACAAAGCTCTCCATCCTCTAGGCAAACTATTATTTCGCACGGAGTGATCCTGGCACAGAACTGCAGAAATCTCCTGCCCTACAGGTGGGCATAATCACCTTGAGAATGACCTACCGTTGACACTCAGTCCTTTCAATACCAAAGGAGAACAATCTAGCAGGTCTCAAAGCATTCCAGAAAAGTATCAGAACAAAAGTATTTTTAAGATTCTAATTACCAGAGGACTGCTAGAGAATTGTTTTGATTCTAATCAAATCAAACAGATCATAAATTCAATTAACTTCCAAGACTTGATGGAAAAATTTGTTTACCTTATTGAGCTCCTCTATTCTTCGTATCAAATATGGGTTACTTGAAGAATTTTCAAAGTAGACATAATCTGGCAAAAACAGAAAAAGACTTTAAAAGATGAACTGCTAAAAATTTAATCAAAACCTCACATGTATACCTGTTAAAGACACCATCCCAAATTCATCTCTTGGCACAAGCAGTATTCCAAATGTTCCTACTAAATCCAGGATTTTAAGCGAGGAAATAGAAAATCCATGCCAGTATAAGGAACATATATCACTGCAATCTGAAGGCCATAAACTCACTTTCGACAAAAACAAAAAAAAAAAAAACAAACTCTACTGTCAGCCTGGAAAGCAAAGCATGTGATCTTCCTTCTCTCTCTGATCAGATTAATTCCACTTTGATCACAGTTTTCTTTACTTGCTTCCTCTTCTTTCTTATCAGAATCCAGCCACTCCTCACCAGCAATATGCGATCTTTCCTCTTCCCCTCCAGCTCAGTTTCAACATACTGCCCATTTACTTAGAAGACAAATCGTTTCATTCTTTTTTTCCTCTCTTATCTTTTTCTCTACTTTCAGGTCTTTTACACCGGTATTATCCTAGAATAGCCTCAACAAAACTCCATATACTAAGCCAAACAGGTCAGTAATATTCCTATTTCCAAGCAGGATAAACATTGTAAACTACAGGAAAAAAGTTCCTTGCCCAAGGTAGCACCTTCAAAAAACAAAAATCATCAGAGAAGCATCAAAAAGTACCATGTAAATAATTTGGTATTACTGAGCTCCAAGCTTAAAATACTCTTTTTTGCAGGTAAGGAAACAGAAGCTCAAGAGTCTTGAATGGACTTGGCCTTTACCTCCCAACAGCCCAGAAGCCAAATCCCAGACTTTAAGTGAGGCAAAAAGAGGGCTGAATTCACACCCTGCTGCCGCAGCCACCCACCCTCAGGTGCTGACCTTGCACATTACAGATTTCTCTTCGGCCCCGATCTAACAACGATTCCTTCCAAGACTATCTACTAAATTTAAAACGATTTCCCAGCTCATTTGTGTTTGGAACAAAACATCCATAGCCCTTGGGCATGACTCAGGTAATCTGCAGTGAACATTAGCATGATGCTCCACCATTGAATGGGTCTTCAGTGGTGCTAGCCTGTTGAAATAGGGACAACTACTGAAGCTGTTAGCCTCAATCTCCCCGAGATGCTCGTTAAAAGGGCAGTCAGTATCAGAAATACTGTTACCTCCTCCCCAGCGCAGAGGAAGGAAGACAACCCCCAGGGCCTCTGCTCCTCCAAAGCCACACCATGAGGGTTAACGATTCCACTCTTATCTCCAGGGTGGCCAGGGAGACACCAGAGCATTCATCCATCACGTCCTACAGCAGCCCTTCCACAAATCCCCGTGTAACACTACTACAGCTCCAGACACAGATTTTCTCAGATTGCTTACAGCTCACGTTCTCTGTAGGTCTCCCTGGAGCTTAACAGACCAAGCTACTCGCTACGTAAGACGCAAGAGCACAGCAGCGAGCGCTGGGCAGATGACCCAGCAGGACTTGCAGTCCTCACTAACTGCAAACAGCTCAAGTGCCTTCATGTCCCTTCAACAGGGCTAGTTGCCTTATGAGAGAAGTCACAAGTCAAGAATCCTAGGGACTGGTGAGCCTCCCAATCTCAAGAGTGGAAGTTTACCAAGCTGTTATCCTTCAAAAAAAGTGTCACATGCCATGAGTTGCAAAGACACCTTGACAACAAAGGCAAACATGGTCTTGGTTGAAGTGATGAGTGACAAGGTTGCAATGCCAACACGCAAACAGTGCACATCTTGGGTTACCTAATATATAGTGTAACCAGAGCTAATAAAGCAAATAAATAGCACACCAAATTTTTTGTATTTTTGTGCCTTCTCTGCTCCAGACCTCTCAGACTGATCATCAGCTATTTTCACACACACTAACACGCATTTGAGTGACTCCAAAACTTCCTAACTGCAAGAGTCGGTTCCTCTTAAATGTCACTTCCCTGCAGGCTTTAGGAGATCATTCTTCAATCTAAGGAATTCAGACTGGAAATCTGGTTTGTAGAAAAACACAGTTCCCAGAAATGGTTAAAACACCCAAGTAATCAGATCCTCAATTTCCACTCCCAAGCACCCGCTCTGTGCAGTGCACCAAACAGGAAACAACAGGCTTAACATTACTATGACCAACTCTACCAGAAGTCACAAAACCAAACAGATTATTTGGCAGCTTCAGCAATAACAACTGCTGACTGAAATAACAATGACAGGCATTAAGCAATTTACAGATCAGCAGAGTGAAGAGAAATCTTTTCTCCCACAGCAGAACCACCCATGCCCTACAAGGGCACTGCAGTGAAGGACGTGGAAACTTCCGAGTTGCCTCCAAGCCCACCAGCCACCTCTCACCGCAAGGCTCCATCACCTGAAGAATGGACAAGTTCTTTCCCTCCGCCCCTCTCATTCCTCCTAAGACAACGAGCTACACCTCACTTTAGGTACCCTGGCTGAGGCCGATGCAAAAATCTTACATTTGTGAACACTATGACTGAAAATAAAAAATGAAAGCTAAGGGAAATATCAATCTCTGTCTTTAAAATACAACCTTGTCTTTAATTCCATGGGTTTCAGGTGACCATTCCAAATCTTCCTAGTTCACATAATTTTTCTAACAGCTTTTTTGTGTGCATATATGTGCATATATTCTCAGAGACAGGTTTTCTACCTTAAGTGAACATTAACTCGATTTTTCCTGTAACTACAATTTATTGATTGTAAAATCTGGCATGGATTTAAAGAAAGTTTATCGCAGATGAATGGTTTATCAAAGAACAGCTCATGGTGATAGCCAACAGCTTTGAATAATAAAACCCCAAAACCATTGTTTTGCTCTGCAGAAGGAACACGCCCAAGCCCACACTCCATGATCAGTAACTGCAAATGAACCTCACACAAAACAGCCAGCTGCACACCGCTTGCAGAACGGCAGAACCAAAGCTGTCCCATGGGATGCTTTAAGAGCTGACACATGACAGAGCGTAGAGGTGCGTACTTAGATCGGTGCTTGATGACTTCATCACATCACAAATGCACAGCCCAGTACGGCTCATCCATGTTTTAGACTAATCCCACAACTATGTTAAGCATTTCACCAGTAGCTATGCAACTAATGGAGACCTATTTCCCATTACTCAAATTACCTGGAAAAGGGTTTCTTCCTCTCTGCAAGTAATGCAGAGCACACTGCAAATCACATAAAACAGAATGTGAGCAGATCAGAGGGGAGTAATTTGAATTTTTCATACAGATTTTAAATACTTAACTAAAATTAAAATGCTATCCTGCACAGAGAAATACTCAAGTTACTCACTGTTCCACATGTACTACAGAAATTTTAAGTTCAAACTACTCTCCAAACTGATGCTTTAGCAGCTGAGAGCATTCCTCTTAAATTGTTCCATCAGCAACAAAACCAGTGAAGGCTGGTTTCCTACACTGGGTTTAAAGGAGGTACACCACCATGCTCCATTGATCCCTACACTCCAAAACACCTCCTTGCCCCTTGAGCAGCACTTCCCCTTCATCTCCAGCTTCTTCCCATGAGAAATGCATCCTTTCATACTGCCTACCCATTAATGCTATTCCCATTTTGCTTTCAGGACAGTAGCTACAACTGCATGCGCACACACACACTGAAGAACAGAAACCCTCTATGGGCTCCCAACAATGCAGTCGTCAATGGGAGACAACCTGTATGTGCACAACTTGCCACAGTCTCTATGCCCTGGGCTGAAAGAGAGGATGGAGGAAGAGACAAAACTAACAAACCTCTAAAGAACAGGAAGATAGGCACCTCGGCTCCTACCAAGTCAGACTCTTCAAGCACAACAGACTGTCTATCCTTGCTAATTTATTGTCTTTCCTACTTACACGACTGAAGAAAAGGACCAGCCTATGTGCTCTGCACAGCACAAGCACCACGTCTCCTCACCAACAGCAACCACCGCAAACACTCAAAGCTCACCCCTTACCACCCTGAACAAAGGTTGGAGACTCAATCCCATACATTCACAACAGCTTGCAGCTTAAACTCATAATCCCTAAATTAACCAGCCATGCATCCCCATCACGATCATAATTAACAGCATCACTCGTGCACACTACGGAATTCCCTATCATCAGGCTAAAGCAACGACTGAGGAGTGTGGCAATACCACAAGTCGGTAAGGACTGCCGTGCATATCACCACCTTCTGACACCAACTCAAGATTTCTTCCTCTTGCCTGTACTGCTACAGACTAGAAGTACCCGCATACGTGAATCTACCCAAAAAGCCTTTCTATCCCTATGTTTTTTTTCCTTAAGCTGAGAATACACACAACTTACTAGAAAGCAATGCTACATTACACAGGTGGTGAGCTGCTGTAAAACAGAGACAAGCATACTTGCAACAGTACAGCATCTGAAACTAGAATGACAGACTACAGACCACAGAAGATGGAAATTTTCCATGAAGGCAGTAAAATAATTGTTCTCAATTAGCAATAAACATAACAGACTTTCCTTTTGCTCTCATATACTTTTAAGACGTTACTGCAAAATAGCTTTCCCCTCTGCCCTCTTCATGTCAACTGTTGATTAAGTCTACATAGGTCCATGGAAAAGAAAATCAGGAGGAGGTACCACAATTGAAAGAACACACATTGTCTAGCGGTCATATATTTATAAGATTAGACATGTCTGAGCTACCTAATAACCTTATGGGCTTTTAGGTAATCAAGTTGCAAAAATGCCCAAAAGCATTTTTATCCTTCCCAACCTACATCTGCCTTTCAGGCTACAAGCGCTTTCAGGACTGACCTCGCGGAATGCTCCATCCCTTACCACCAGAAAGTGTTACACACTGTGTAGTGCATTAGCCTACAGGTGTACTCAGGACAGGAGGGAGGCTGAAGCCTTCCTCTTCTCACACTCACTACCGCTGTTGGGTACAGCGTGCACTTCCAGACGTGATAAGGAAGTAACTTCACAGTTCCAAGTATCTCCCCTGCCCAATCCACAAAGCTGCTGCCCTGAATTAAAGATGAGCGTCAAGAGAGAGCATAGACTTATGATGACCTGCTTACTTTATGACTTATCTTATGGGAAATATATGCCGCCTCACATCTTATGGGAAATATATGCCGCCTCACACTTTGGATTTCCAATTCAATTTTGGGCCAGTTTCTTTTGGTAAGCTCCAGTTTTCAAATTATTCAGCAGCTTGGTCCTGATACTGTCAGTCACTTTACATTCTGCATAATACAATCCCTCCAGGTCTACGTTCTCATGAAAGAGGAGGCGGGAGAGGCTAACACTGCTTTCAGCCTACGAAGTCAAGCAATCTCACCTGGTAGAGCCCAGGTTGCATTGCCTTCTGGCTGTTCAAAAAACAGCATCGCTCACAGCAGCTGTGACCTGATGAAATGTTTAGTAACAGAACAGAGTTTCAACAGAGGAAGCCTTACCAGCACAGTATTTTCATTACCAGAAAAGCAAAACTGAAACACAGTTGTTTCTGTTGCTAAAAGAATTATGAGGTCAAATACACCTAGCAGTATATATGAGCTAGGTATTTACAGTTAATGTCTTTCACACATCAACAAAGATATTAAAGATGTACTGTCAGCACAAGTTCAATTCATATTTACTGGACAGTGGTATTTGTGGCTACTGCATGCACAGGATGTGCTGCCCCATCCTCAGCTTGCTGCACTATAGGCAACACCACTACTACCACCTAACTCCTCAGAAAAGGAGTGGAAATGGAGCAACAACCCAAGCACAAAAGCATCTGAAATACCTATAGTCATTTAGCGAGGGACATGGCAAAAGCAAGCACCATCTCCTGCAGAAATCTCCACTCCATACAGTTAACAGTAAACCATCACTAAATTTAGTAAGGACAGGTTGAGGCACCCCTCAGTTAAATCAAGCTAACTTAGCTCATTAAATCAAGCTAACTTTGCTCTTCTGAACAAAGTGAAGAAATCAAAAGACTTATGAGGATAGAGATCAAAACAAATAACCCTTGACTGAAATCTTTTAAGCAAGATACAAATCTCAAAAGGGACCATGCGTGTGACAAGAATCCACTGCTCACACAACACACTCCCAAGATTACCTGCCTGGTCTCAGTAAAAAGGCTCAGCCACAGCAAAACAGGGAAAAAATACCTAAGCGACAAGTTCTCACTGCTAAAGCAGAAAGCTTGGTGTTCACCAACGGATCAAGATTAACACACCACTGCACCACTTCCTTAAGCCCAAAGCCTGCAGTAAACTTCCTAGATATAAATTAGCAATGACAGCTCAACTCTGTGCCTGCATGTCCATCCAGAACAGTGACTACCCTGTCTCCAAACACTCAGTGGAAACAGTCCCAAGTCAGGTAAAAACAGACGAGGCTTCCTTCAGTGAGAAAGACTGCCATCCTGAAGAGCTACCAGTCACAGGACCCAGCAGTCTCTTGCAGTCGGTCAAATGTTTTAGGTCACCATCAGGTCTACAGACATTGCAAACTCCATTCAATCAGGGTGTGATGGCTCCACGCACAAGCAAAGGGATCCACAGCCAAATTCTCCTGATGTACTTGCAACTTCTCAGCCTGGAGCCAGAAAACACTCTTAAAAGGAACTGTTGCAGCCCTACCCTTCCCGTTATGATTTCCTACTTCAGCCTGGCAGTTAATAGGCTTCACTTGGGAGTTTCTACAGCATGACGACTCTGCTAGTTCCCAGAGCCTTCCAGGTTCAGTAGATGATGAGAGCTTGCCTACACAGGGAGTTATAAGAACACACTTCCTCCAAAAGAGCAGTTATGTCTAGTTAATTACACACTGAAATTACATGTATAGAAAAATATTAATTCACAATGCTTCTTTTGTAATTATGTAAAATATTTCTCCTATGAAACCAGCCCGTACGATGGAAAGTTGCTTTTACCCTCCTGGAGGGTGTGCAGGCAGCGTAACAAGGGTGCCTGTACAATCCTGAGCCTATAGGGATGTACTGGGAAGACAACATCCCAGATATTAAAAAACAAATACATCATAATACCCATGTGCCAAGCACTTTAGTGGTGAGCAAGCATACAGCCTCTCCAGATTCTATCAGCTCATATAACATGCTGTAAAACCTCTAAAAACATGAATTTATAGATGTACCTACACAAGGTCATACAGTTTGTTCAGTTCAACTTCCTCTTTCCATCCTTTCTCCATGAAAAACAACATTACTTGAAAGAACCCTGGAGCTGTAGACTAAAGAGTCCGGATACGTGCAGGGAAAGGACAACTCAGTTTCATTTAATGAACTAAAGCTTCTACAACAGCAGTTAAATTCCAAGCATGCATCTACACACATACGCATGCAGAAGCACCGCTCAAGATTGCTTTGTACTAAAGGAAGTTCAGCCTCATGTATTCAAAACGCATGGCAGAAGTCCATGTTCTCGGTTTCATACCAGCTTCTACTCTTATTTTCAATAATAAAACATAGAAGAAGATGGCATTCCAACTCCCAGCAGCGAGAAGGAAAAAAAGCATCAAATTCATAAATATACAAGTGAGAAACCCATGTAACTTTCGCCAAGTCCCCATGAAACATGCACCTGTACCGAAACAGCTAGAGGCTGATAATCAGTGCAAATATCAATACCTTATTTGAATCATACTTTAATATCAAACTTTAACTCAGAGTCAGCATGCTTGTCAGAAACAGGTAGTTGATTTTCTTGAGTTTGTTGATTCCTCTCTTTTTCTAATGGCTAAACTCTTATTTCCAAAGGTGGGTTGCCTTGGAGAATATGATCAAAGCCATGAAGCAGGAATAGTCTTTTATCCCCTCACCTTAAAAATCCCCAAACTATAAAATGCTCAAGAAACAAGGATTATCTACACATTCATATGTTAAACAAAATGTTCACATTATATTTTCTTCCAAATGTGCAGAACTTGTATCTAGAAACAGCCAAAATAACTTGGCTGTTTTGAGATGAAAACTACGTATCAGTTTTTCTGACTTGCCTCCAAAAGTCCAGGTTCAATATTCCCCAAATCATAACCCTGAAGTAGAAGCAATTCATGGCAAGGTCTGTGTAACAGGACTACAGATCATGCGCAAATCTATGATACAAACATTTATCAGTGCAAGCTCTTCTCAAATAGTAACAGATACTACAAAAAACCCCCAAACAGACTAAAAACCCAAACTCTGACGGACCGGTTGCAAAAAAACCCTCAAATATCTATCACACAGACCTCTATTCAAGCTAAGAAATATTCTCTACCTTTTTCGAGAAAAAAACCCATCTAAGTTAATGACATGCAACTCGCTTGGACAAACTGACAGTTGCTTGATCCAGTTTAAACTCTGAAACACTTTAAGGGATTTGGAACTTCCCAAAGGTCTTCAGTTCTTTGTTTTCTGGCATGTCAAAGGGGAGAAGAAGAATTCCTGTCCAGCTACCTCATATCATTTTTTTGCCTGATTCTTGGTGAAACAAGGTTTATGCAACTCCATTATCCATGCATTAGTTCTTCCCTATTAACTGCCAAACCCTTTGTCTGATTTAAAACATTTCACAGAGGGACAGAAGTCTCAAAGATAATTAAGTTCTGATCACTGTTCCCCATCTTAAAAACATAGATACTGAAACTACAAGATAGAGTGAGAAAGGTAAGACAGACAATTAGAGATATGAAATGGTTCCCATTTCAGAAACAATTAATAGACTAGGTTTTAAAGTAAATCACTGGAGATTCCACAGTGTTGGAGGGAATTATCAAAAGTGCTTGCTTTCTTACCCACCTCCCAACACCTCTAGTCAGTGCTGTTCAAGGCAGGTCCTGGGCTCAATTAACTTCTGATCTGACTCATTATGACCAAGGGTGTTGCCAAATGTTTACCCTCTCTGCCAGCAAAGGCAGCAGGTATTCTGCCTCGCAGCAACAATGTAGAGACTCAACATCTCAGCTCTGGACGAGGCACAGAGTTCATACATACGGTACCTTTCCCAGTAAAAGTGCAATATTACAAAGAAGTGGGAGGAGGAGAAGGGGAAGAACCACCTCACAGAAGAACAAAAAAGTCAACATCCTTATTTCTGTTCCTCACAGCACCGTTGGCTGTTTTCAGTTGCAGAAGATCCGTGGAAAAAAAACAAAGGACAGCAACCTATTGGTACTTGCAAAAAAAAGGTTATGGGTGACAGGAGTACTTCACAGGTCACTCTTCTTAGGTAAGAACTACGCCACACTGAAAAAAATAGGGATGCCATCTTAAAGGTAAAGGTAGGGAGACTGTGTACAAACAAGACTGGAGAAGAGAATTTGTGAGAATCCTGGAAATAAAATTAAGCTTCCAAAGTACTACCCTGAGGATAAAGAAGCAATTCTGCTCCTAGAAATCAATTATATGGCAGTACAAGGAAACCTATTTCAATTAATCCACTCCCAATATCCCAGGTATAACTGAGGCACATTTGCATGCATCACTGACCCTTTAGGTTCACTAAGTCACCTCCCTCCAGTTTCCTGCAGGACAAGCATACACTAAATATTCCTGGAGAATCACTTTTTCTTCTCTGTTTTACATCAGATATTTAAGCACGATTCAAAGTCCTCTGAACAAAAAGCCTGTTCTGTATTACCTCTTCTGCCACTTCAGTTCCCAAGGATGTAGCTCTACAAACATTTCCTGCAGTAGCAAAGTTGTGAGCCAACGTCATTTCAGCTGCACCAGTACAACTCTTTGTGGGGCAATACCACGAGCCAGTTCATGGAAATAGTCCAGGCTTAAAAAAGGAAAAACCTTTCCCCAAAGGTGGGTTGTAAGGGAAGACCAGGATGGTCTAATTTACAGAAGAGCCACAGAAACACTTGAGCAGATGGAGAAACTAGTAAGAAGAGAACTCCATAAATCACTTGGGGGGCGAGGGGAAAGAATGTATTTTGGAGGGGTGGGCACAGGGGAGAGTATCCTCAAACTGCACCCTAACAGTCGTCTTTTCTAGCAACCAAGAGAACAGCCTGTTCCATTGCAATTTTCATTGCTAAGGACAGATAAAAACATTATTTTCCAAAAGATTCTTAGGCAGCACAGAAGAGGACAAGAAATCAGCTTCATATTCCCTGCAAGTATCCCAAGAGTTGCGAAACAAGAACCTCTGAAGCACTCGGACATCAAGTTTGGTATCACCCTCAAGAAACAAACAAAACAACAAAAAAAGTTGTGTTTTTTTAAGAGCAATGCTTAACTTCAGTTAGTCAATGTGAATTAACTGCTTGGCCATGGTATGACTGTGTATTAAGTCTGGGAGTAGAGGTTTCAGTGCCAGATCAAAACCATCATGGCTTCACAATGTAAAACATGGATGAAGAATAAACTCCTGCCATAGTTTCACAGATGTTTCTTCAAACAAGAATGCCAGTGAAGCCGATTCATCCCCCACCCTCCCATACCACCCCCTCAAGTTGTGATAGCTTCTCCTCGGATGGGAGGAGGCAGGCACGCACGTGGTAAACCTGATTAGGAACTCACCCAGGTCAAAAAAACTGTCTCCCAACCAAATCAATTCCCTGACCTGCTTCGTTGCACAGGCACACCAAGCTGTGTAAGCCCAGCTCAGGAAGCAACGTAAGGACAGTAACAAGTGTCTGCGAGCAGGCGCTGCTTAAATCAACACCACTACCAAAAGAAACATCCACACAACTGTCTCACTTGGCTGGTTCAAATTTGCTCAGATGTTGGCAACTGAACTCTGTAAGTACAAGCTCTGTGCTATATCAGGAATCATCTGCTCACACCACACTAACTTTATGCTTGGTCAAGTATCATCTGTCCTCCTACATCTTGCATAAAAAGCACAAAGTCCCTGAATTAACCAGAGCACATCACGTGCAATTTAACAGAAACATTACCACGGGCCACATCTGCCACAGTTCACAACTGGTGATCTGGCAATGCACAGAAGCTGAGCTGTGAAATCCCAGGTGCCACGAAGACCAAACAGCTTGCGAGTAACACGTGTAAAAGACTGGAGAAGCCTAAACTTTTTCTTTAGCTTGCAAACTCACTTTAAAGCTGCCAACTAACTTCTCCGCCTTACTTCATTGATCAATGTCAAGTAAAAATTATCTCAGGAACACTCCCCCTTCCTAAAGGCGATCCAGCCAAAGAGCTGGAAAAGGAGAATGTGTGCATGCCTCCTTCTGGGCTGGGTTATGCAGCCTGCAAGCCTTGCAGCTGCTTCACAGGTCCTTCCCCTGAAGGTGATTCATCTGCCTCCTCACTTACTTCTGCAAGCAGAA